TGCAATCTCATTGCCCATCTGTGTATGGCCAGGCTCAACCACATGGCTTTTGCGCTATAAAAGTTAGACTGTGAGGCTGGGGATTGTGGCCCTCTCTATAAGAGGCAGCCCCGAAAGGTTGGTTTGATTCTCGATGCTTGGCGTGAAATAAAGCTTTGCTTGACTTTTGCTTTGTGTCAGTCTCATTCCTTTGATTACGGACCTAACAAAGAGCAAAGTATTTGGGGTTACACTTGAATTTAAAAATTAGCTTCACAGTAAACTGTGACCTAAGGAAAGGGAAGAATAATCCCTCATTAGTTGTTTTAGGGAGTTATGGTAAGATTGTAGCAGCTAAGTCAGTGATGAGTAACTGACAGATTTTATAGGTGTTCCTTATTCAGAAATAAATTGGGCTACATATATTGATTTGAATTCTTACAGTCACAGAATAATGTCTGTAGATGAACATAATGGGTATCTTTTTATTTTGCAGGGTTCTAAAGTCAAAACCTTGAGATTAATAAAGGCAGGAAGATCTTCACTTTTTAAAGTAATTCTCCTTGGAGATGGTGGAGTTGGGAAGAGCTCTCTAATGAACAGATATGTGACCAATAAGTTTGATACCCAGCTCTTCCATACAATAGGTGTGGAATTTTTAAATAAAGATTTGGAGGTGGACGGACATTTTGTTACTATGCAGATTTGGGACACAGCCGGTCAAGAGCGATTCAGAAGCCTGAGGACGCCATTTTATAGAGGTTCTGACTGTTGCCTGCTCACTTTCAGTGTTGATGATTCCCAGAGCTTCCAGAACTTGAGTAACTGGAAGAAAGAGTTCATATATTACGCAGATGTGAAAGAGCCTGAGAGCTTTCCTTTCGTGATTTTAGGCAACAAGATCGACAAAGTGAACATCAAGTGTCTACAGTAGAAGCCCAAGCCTGGTGCAGGGATAACGGTGACGATCCTTACTTTGAAACAAGTGCAAAAGATGCCACAAATATCGCAGCGGCCTTTGAGGAAGCAGTTCGAAGAGTGTTTGCTACTGAGGATAGGTCAGATCACCCGATCCAGACAGTCACAGTCAGTCTGCACCGAAAGCCCAAGCCTAGCTCGTCTTGCTGTTGACCGTTTGGAGAGGTTGCCTGTGTGATCTAACCAACTCACACACATACACAGAAAAACACAGGGTGGAGAAGAGAATTAGCATTTGCAGCAATGGACCATCTACTCATAAAATTAAACTAACCATATTCCTGTTTTGTTAGTAGGTGGGAGAAGGGACACATCCACTCATGGAAGAATCAGTTTACTCAGTAGTGGCACCGTACATTTATAAATTATAATGGTTGTCTGTTAACATTTAATTTAAATATGTATGTTACAGAGCTAATAATGAGATGGCCAATACTTTAATTATAATTAAAATAAAACTCCATCTTGAAATTATAGCTGGACTACTTTTCTCTTTATAAATTGGAAAACTATATATTTTGGTTTCCCCCACTATCCAAAAGTAGAGTGTTCCTCTAAAACCTTTCATAAGCCAAAATGGTATAGTGCAAAAAAGCAATTGTCAATTTATCTGGAAAACATTTTTTTTTTTAGATTTATTTATTTATTTGACAGACACAGATCACAAGTAAGCAGAGAGGCAGGCAGAGAGAGAGGAAGGGAAGCAGGCTCCCTGCCAAGCAGAGAGGCCAATGGGGTTCTCGATCCCAGGACCCTGACCAGGACCTAAGCCGAAGGCAGAGGCTTAACCCACTGAGCCTCTGAGGTGCCCCAAACTTTTTTTTTTTTTTAAGGATTTTATGTATTTATTTGTCAGAGAGAGAGAGAGAGAGAGAGACTGAACAAACAGGAAGTGGGGCAGAGGGAATAGCAGGATCCCCGCAGAGCAAGGAGTCAGATGCAGGACTTGATTACAGAATTCTGGGATCATGACCTGAGTTGAAGGCAGACACTCAGCTGACAGCCACCCAGGTGCCCCTATATGGAAAACTTTTTGAGTATACTCAGACCAAAACAAATAACCTCTGTTAGGCTTTTCTGTCACTTTGGATATGTTTTCCTAACAAATGCCCAAAATAAATCAAGCTGAAGCACAGATGCTGACAGACACAGTTCAGAACTCACCTGGAGGCTGAGATGCTGAGCATAGTTCCTGGAAATGATCTTGACATTTGCACCCTCACTGCTTGAAATGTGTGTTTTCTTCTATAAGGGCTCGCCACAAAATGTCCTGAGTGCTATTTTTGCTTTTTACCTGTTTTTTTAAAAGCAAAAATCTGCTTTGCATTTGTTTTACTTAGTAAACAAATATTAATGTAGGTCTTTTGTTAAAGCAAAATGGCAAAATGAAAACATTTGACAAGTGGGGATACTTGTATTTATGTTTTCATGCAGCTCATTCTTGTTTCAGGAAAAACACTTGATAAAGCGATACTAAATACAGTTGACCCTTGAACAACATAGGGTAGTGGGCCACTGACCCACCACGGAGTAAAAAAATTGACATAACTTTCAACTTCCTTCATATTTCACTATTAATTCTCTGTTGACCAAAAAACTGACCAATAACAGTTAGTATATTTTGTATGTTGTATGTATTTTTATAAAAAATAAGCTAGACAAAAAATGTGATTTAAAAAGTCATAAAGAAGAGAAAATATGGTACTATATTGTATTGATAAAAAGAAAAATCTCTTTATAAATGGACCCACACAGTTCAACCCCTGTTGTTCAAGGGTCACTGCAATATAAGTTAAAATCAAATGAAATGTAGTTCACTGTTTTTTGATTGAATTACTACTTCTATTTAAAATGATTGAATGACTCATATTTCATAATTCAGTATTAAATATTAATAGAGTTAGTTTTGCTGGTAATTGTCATTTGTGTCCAGCATGGCCGCCCCCATTTGCTAACTTCACTGCTCTTAACAGGAAGTATAAAGAAGAATCATTCTTTGAGGTAAAATAAAGGTGTCCTTATTTAGTTAAGTGTTTAGTGTCTTCTCTGTCACTGAACATTTTTTAGTAATGTACATTCAAAAGAATCTGTCATTTTTTAGAGAACTTGCTTCAAAGATCAAATGACACAGATTCTTTGTGTGCAAAGTTTGTATAATGTATCTGTGATGATGTGCCTACAGACACAAGGGATGTGTTAGTATAGACACGGATTTTAACTGTGGACTATTATCGTTATCAAAGGACATTGTACGGATAGGAAAGCCTGGTTTGTCATGAAAGAATGGTTGATTTTGACAAACTAGATTCATATATTTGTCTACCTGATCTTGTCATTTGGAACCTCTGGAAGATTACCATTAGAGTAACCTAATATTTGAAAATCCAATTTCCTAATATATTGAACAAATTTGCTGTAAGAAAATACCATAAATCTGTGAAATTAAATTTCCTCATATTCTTATAACAGCTTTAGTTTTTACTGTTTATGACATCATAATTTGCCCTCCAAAACTGTAATCTTTGTCCCAAAACAAAATAAATGGAAACCTATTATTAAGAGATTGGTACATTCTATATCCCCCCTTTTTTAAATTGGAGGACTATCTTTAAGCCCTTTTTAAAATTTATCTTAAGTGTACTCATTGTTTTGTGACTTGTCCTTTTCTCAATACTTGTGTATGTATTTTCAATATAAAAGACAAACTTCATCTTATTAGCTGTGTGATGTCAAACAATTTATTTAAACTATTCTTTATCATAGACATTTGGATTTAAAATATTAATTGATCTTAAAAAATTTCAAAAGATAAATATTAGGTGACATTTCTACACTGCCACTTTCCACTACTTGGTGAACAATAAATATTGCAAGTATTTTTTTAAAAAATTGTTACTAGATAATATATTGTTAATATAAAAAGTTCAAAGAGAGAGGAGGAGTCAAGATGGTGGAGAAGTAGCAGGCTGAGACTACTTCAGGTAGTGGGAGATCAGCTAGATAGCTTATCTAAAGATTGCAAACACCTACAAATCCAATGGGAGATCGAAGAGAAGAAGAACAGCAACAATAGAAACAGAAAATCAACCACTTTCTGAAAGGTAGGACTGGCGGAGAAGTGAATCCAAAGTGACGGGAAGACAGACCGCGGGGGGAGGGGCCGGCTCCCGGCAAGCGGCAGAGCAACGGAGCACAAAATCGGGACTTTTAAAAGTCTGTTCCGCTGAGGGACATCGCTCCAGAGGCTTAACCGGGGTGAAGCCCACGCAGGGTCAGCGTGGCCTCAGGTCCCGCAGGGTCACAGAAGGATTGGGGGTGTCTGAGTGTCGCAGAGCTTACAGGTATTAGAACAGGGAAGCCGGCTACAGAGACAGAGCCGAGGAGTAAGCTCTAAGCTCGGGGTTACCTTGAACCGGTCGCAGGCTCGGTCAGCTCGGAGCGCGGCCGGAGGAAGGGTGACGGGAGTAAATGGCGCTGTTCTCTGAGGGCGCACTGAGGAGTGGGGCCCCGGGCTCTCGGCTCCTCCGGGCCAGAGACCGGGAGGCCGCCATCTTCATTCCCGCCCTCCGGAACTCTACGGAAAGCGCTCAGGGAACAAAAGCTCCCGAAAGCAAACCCGAGTGGATTACTCAGCCCGGCCCCTGGTAAGGGCGGTGCAACTCCACCCGGGGCAAAGACACTTGAGAATCACTACAACAGGCCCCTCCCCCAGAAGATCAACAAGAAGCCCAGCCAGGACCAAGTTCACCTACCAAGGAGTGCAGTTTCAATACCAAGGAGAGCAGTGGAATTCCAAAGGAGGAGAAAGCAAAGCACGGAACTCATGGCTTTCTCCCCATGATTCTTTAGCCTTGCAGTTAATTTAATTTTTTTTCTTTTTCAATTTATTTTTCTTCTTCTGCTAAATTTTTTAAACTTTTACTCTTTCCTTTTTTAACATTTTTTAACTAGTTTATCTAATATATATATATATTTTTTCCTTTTTATATTTTTTCTTT